ATAGTATAGATTGTATTACACTATTTTATAATATTATAATAGAATTTTAACGCAGAATTATTGTACGAATGGGAAAGTAGAAATCAATATATTTTATTAGGAATAGAGATTTTTTAGGAATTGGGCGGGAAGTTAAAATTTCAGGATTTTGTTTTTATATATAGTATAGATTAGTAATCTTAATTATTATTACTATTTTTATTTTCTTTTTTAATTTTTACTGATTATTATTCTATTTCCTTTTCCATTTTTCATTGTCTACTGTTTGAGAAGAAGTGTTTGGATAGAAATGCACGAAAGTAAGATTTTTTTTTTTAATAATAAGTATAGAAGTATAGATTATTAAAAAACTATATATGTGTAATTAATTTATTAATTACCATAATAATTATTACATAATAAGCTTGTTTAGTTATTGGCGAATCCGCAAACATTTTGACGAAAATATTGTTTGGTAACTTACTGTTTGGGACAACAATTTTCTCTAAACTGCTGAAAACTAAAATGCTACATTTACAACGTTTCAATTAAGCATTTTAGAAAAAGATTAATCTTTCCCAAAAACACCCTCATACATTTAAAAACAAAATGAGAGGTCATTAAGACTTCTTAAATGAGGGCCTTTTGGCTTTTCCCTGCTTGCCTACGTTAATGGGCAATCAATTATGTAACACCCTTAATTTTTAAAACATTTAAAGTTTATATAATAAATGCAATCTAACGATAATCATCCAAACAGAGCATAAACTATCCATAAGAGTCGGGGTGCTATGCCACACCTAGGTTTGAGAACTTAGATGCACAGGCTAAACTAACCAAACATATATAATCCATAAATCAATATTCAAATACAATCCAAGGCACACAAGCCATCTACTAATGCTAGAACTAACTAAGCTAAGTCCACAGGTCCAACTAGCGCACTTCTAGCTAATGATCCGCACCTGAAAAACATACGGTGTAACAACCGTCAGCGAATAATGTTGGTAACCCACTCCCACACGTTAAGTACAATATAGGTAGATATAGGAAAATCATTTTGAAATCGGAATACATACATATATAACCTAAGCAACTCTAGCTTTAAACCAAGATCAGTCTCAAGACACAACAACAGACTTGACACTTTAGAACAATCATAAAGACTAGCATGCATCCTAAGAACACAATACAAGACATAATAGACAAATAAGCTCATAAATAACAAATAGAGACAACAATGGGATTCAAAGACAATCAATAGCAATTAATCATTAAGGCACACAATCCATCTTCCAACCTTATACCAAGTTCCAACCTTATACCAAGTTCCAACCTTTTCACTCCACTCCATCCTTATTTCAGTTCCAACCTATACCTCCAGGCTACCCTTATACCTCTTCCCTTATCCCTTCGGAGCAACTACATGCCCCGCTCCGTAACCATTAACATGGTAGCACCGAAGTGTCATTCGCATGGTCCGTGCCCCTAGCACCAATACCAAGGGGTCAGCGCATATAGCTCTAACATGACACCGAAGCGCTTATACCCTAACCCAAGCCTTTAGCCAGCAAGTCTAAGGGGTGGTCCGTGCCTTTACCACGATAACCGAGCACTCGTTGTGTTTTCCGCCAACAATTCATCTCCACCAATCACAATCTCATTATCATCAGTCACATTAATCATTGCGCAATGACCACAATACTCATTCATCATTCAATCAATCAACACATAATCAATCAATAAAAATCAAGACATAATAACAATGATACGTACTACACATAAATTCCTAGAACGGTATCCAAAACATCAAACGGGACTCATACACGTCAAACGGGGTACAAGAGATACAATAGGACGCGGGGAAACATCAAACAGGGAAAAACATCACGCCACGCACCCACTTTCCAGCGGGTGGTGGATCACCCGCAGGTCACCCGCCGGTGGGCGGTCTGGTTTCCAGCGGGTGGCCGGCGGGCAGGCCACCGCCCGCCGGCTGCCCGCTGGAACGGGACGTTCTGGGCAGCGGGTAGGTGGTGGGGATTCGTCCCCCCACCTACCCCCCCCCCCCCCCATTAGTACTATGGTAGAAATCCGGCTCGAGGTTCGTTCGTGAACCCAAAACCATGTCCAAGCACGTTCTAACATGTAACAACAACATCATGGATTCAATTAACGAAGATTAAACTAAAAATCATTCCAATTACGTTCTAACACGATTCCTAAACATGTCAAGACTCAACATCAATCATATAACGGTTCAGGAGCATCCGAAACCTCAAGAATACCAAGAAATCTATATGCAAAGCCCTAAGGACAAGTCCTAGGCTAGACTCAACATCCGATCCTGCATAAACCCACCCAAGAATACTAAGAACATCACAACACGAGATTCACGATATAAACCCTAGGGACAAGCTCTAGACATAATTAAATACAATATCACACATTTACAAGATTACCCCGACTCTTATGGATAGTTGAGGCTCTGTTTGGATGATTATCGTTAGATTGCATTTATTATGTAAGTTCTTAAATGTTTAAAAATTAGGGGTGTTACAGTGTGCTTGGACACCGGGGTTTGTTCCCCAAGTTGTTAGTGTTGTTTTGATGAGCTTGACTCTAATTAGTTATCCTTTTGTAGCATGTGCAGTCACCATGAGTGGTGGCTGTGGCGGTGACACTCGTTTATGTTGGATTGATTGGTTTTAAGTTAATTAATCTTACTTATCTATCTTGTTAAAGTAAAAGTAATTGGGATTTAGATTTTAGAAAAGTAGGGTGTACAGCGTGTCCCACTGGTCTGTTGGATAACCATCATCCGTAGGCTTTGCAAGCACCGCGTCGCACCTGATCCTTGCTTCGGCGCGTGCAAGACTAGACGTAGCTTGGACCCTTCTTCCCGAGCGATCATCAGGACTTCGGGCTAATGGGGCTACTTGATGGGGATATTGCCACATGTACAAGTCGTCCAACAGCCAGTAGGCCGGTCGGTAATTGACCCCCGAACAGCGCTAGAGGCAACATAACCGTCCCGACCATCAGCCCAGTTCCCGACCGCCTTTCCCAGGTTGGCCCTACCAGGACCCCGGCCCCTAGTCTTAGCCGATCTCCTTACATGGGCCGACCTCCGTGGCTCAGTCCCGATCTTTGTTCCCCCAGGTAATGATCTGACGATGTCAGGAATATAGCGCCGCGTGTCGTATGTTCCCTCGGCCCCGGTCTAGCCTAGTGCATGTGAGCCACGTGTCTTCCATGCCGGAGGCCCGGGGCGTGTCCCCTTCTTCCCCTATAAATACATCATTTATTGCTATGAGGGGGGACTTTTGGCACCTACTTTACACTCGTGCTATTTGACAGGAGATTCCTAACCCACAATCCGGGGATCCCGAGCTCAAATATTTTTTATTCGATATTGTATCGTACGTATACCTCCATATTTACCGTATCAAGGGTAAAATAGCAAAAATATAATAGCGGGTATATTGTCAAAACAGGGTGTGGTGAAGTGAATTACATGCATACACATGGGCGGAGCTACAATGGGGGCAGCTTCCCCCCTTCCCCCCACCCCACCCCACCCCACCCCACCCCACCCCCTATACAACCCTTATATATATATATATATATATATATATATATATATATATATATATATATATAGTTCAGATTTTAGTATAAGTATAATAAAACAAATAAATCTAATAAAAGATGAATTAGTTTAGTTGGCATGGCGTGTGAGTGTTCTTTAAAAAGGTTTAAGGTTTGAATCCTCCTATTGTTTTAATGCAATTTTTATGATATTTTACCAACTATTGTTAATAGTGAGCAATATATAATATAACATTCTTTTATATTAATAATGAGATGTGTAATTTATAATGTATTTTGTATTCTAATTATTTTATCAAATTAATTATGTTCATATTTTGTTATGAATATTTTTATAAAGTTTTGATATGTTTTATTTTTTACTCATATCCAATAATATTTATGGCTATACTTCCTTAAGTGTTTCATTTTTTTTTTTCAAAATATCTCTTTTGTTGTAATGTTTCGCCCCCTTAACAAAAATTCTGGCTCCGCCCCTGTGCATACATGCAACTAATTTTTCTTTTTCTTGTACTTGAGGTAGCCTGATCTAAGAAGGGTTTATACTTGTCGAGTATATATAATATAATATAAAATATAAATGTTTAATTAGTTTAACTATCAATTTAAATTTTTAATTGAGATGAACCACATTGTTTCTTTTAGTATCAAAGTCAACTCCAAACGAAAGGATCTTTATACTACTTTATAAAAAAAGAGACAATATACACTCAATTTAAACTTTTAGTTAAACAAAACACGTCATTTAATTAATTATATTTGTGCTTGTGAACAAAGAAAATTGAATTATATTTAAAAATTCAAAATTCCGGTTACATATCAAGTATCAATGCGGTGTGGGTAAAAGATCTCTGTGTTGTCCTCTGATTCTTCAATTGGAACACTCCACCATGTGGCTTGATCTTCAAAGAAGGGCTTGTATATATAGCTTGTTCTTCGTTGAAGGGCATCTGGGTTCAAATGGCTTGATCTTCAGTAGAGGTTTGGATCAACATGCATGATTGGGGGAGAGGCTTTTACTTTCAGGACCACATTCAACATGCATGATTGGAGGAGGGGCTTTTACTTTCAGGATCACATTTTTATTGTGATTTACGAATAATATTTTCAGGATGTTTACATGGTTATTTCCTAGGATATCATGTTTGCATAGAAGTAAGAGTTCCTATTTATAGCCTGCATGGGCAGCTCAATTGGTCATTAAGGTGAAAGTTTGAAAGAAGAGTTCCTATTTACAGTTATAGGATAGAAGAGTTGTCCCACATGCTCTGTCGGGTCGAGGGGCCTTAGGGTTGGGGGATTTAACCTTTTGGGAGAAGGATAGAAGAGTTGTGATAGGTTCAAACTCTTTTGATATTATCTAATTAACAAATTAGATAATATCAATATTATCCAAAATATTTTAAATATACAAATATTAAAAACAAATCATATTTATCAAAATTTCAAATGTAAGTGCTAATGAGCGAATTATGAGTTGTATAAGAAGAAAGGTACAACAATAATATTCGAAAATGTAAACTTCCTACAAAAATATATAATGTCCGAATAACACACTACATACTATGTTACTAAAACAAAGATGTATTGGGCATAATTAATTAGTACTACAATTAGTAAGGTTGTTTGCTAATCCATTGATCACCGTCAATGAAGTCCATGCTGGTGAAGTACTTCACCATTTCTTGACTCAACCTTGCTTCCCATGGAACTCTCTTTGAGGTGTCCGACCCAGGTCCATAGCATTCCACCTCAGCAAATGTTAGCTGGTGCCTGAATATTAGTAATTATTAAGAAAAACAATAATAATAATGAAAATTCTTCGATATTGATTCATAAAAATGTCGAATACACAGTTAACATCGGACATTATTTGTTTAGTTAATGTTGTTTAATTCATATATATAATCCAGTTTAGGATTGTATTAATATTTATTCTCTCAATTCTTTTAGGAAGGTTTCAATAACAAAAAAAAATGTGATAACTTATAATAAAATTAATCCGTTTATTACTAAAAGTGAAGTGTCTTACTCGTAATCTTTGTAGGACCAAGAATCCCAACCTTGAGGAACAACGATGTTGGAGAGGGAGGAATTATAAAAAATGGTCCTAGAATAGCTTCTCCATGCCCTTCCCAACAGTGCCATGCCATTTCCAACCACTTCGCAATTCTTGAATACAAATGCATTGCTGTCTTTTGCTCTTGACCTTCCTTGTGCTGTTATGAACCCTGTTGTGCCTTCTCCTATTGATCCAGCATTCACAACTATTCTACACTCCTACAATAAATAACAATAAAATAAATTAATTATAATTATTTCCCAAAATTAAAGGCCAAAGAAATATTTTTAATTTATATTCTTGAAGTAAAATTTGTGTTTTGTTGGTGTTAAGACTTAATAACTCGATTGCATTTGAATATAAGGTGTAAAGATTGTAAGTAAGTGGAAATAAATTAAATCAAAATGAAAAATATAATTTTCTCAAAGTAATTTGTTGATAGCTACCGCTTTGTTAACCACGAGCAGTACAACGTACTCTTCCTAGGAACCAGCAAAATCATGTCATTAATTAAGAACAGGCTTTAATATTTCATTTCCTACTTGTGAAGATCAAAATGTACTGTTTCCAAGGAAAATTGAATCGATTTATTTCATAGGCCGTTTGGCCTAACAAAGTAAAAAATAAAAAAAAATAAAAAAATAAAAAATGTATGAAGATATTTAATGGCCTGCAATCTTGTGAAAATGCAGCTATTCAATTCAGGTTTAATTAAATAATGGACAGTGGTCCACAGTATAAAAATAGAAGTAATAGGAATATAATACGATTATAGAATCTTTTTTTTTTTTTTTAAATCATCAATTTAAAAAAAAAAAAGAAAAGAGAGAGAATATAATAGGATTGTTTGTCCACATAAGGCGAAATTCTCTCATCATCAGGGTCCTACATGATTGCTACATCCTGACCTCACAAGATAATGGAGACTGGAGAGGAAAATTATGATGACTCATTGATTGATCTATCAGGTGGAAGGACTAGTGTTTGGTGTCCTCTCAATTGTTATACCATGGACTAGGGTCCACCTATAGTGTGGACATTGGTCTAAAATGAGTATATAATTTGTTAAATGAAGGGTACTAAATTAATTAAATGTCATTTTGGACCAGGGTCCACAATGCTAGGTGGATCGTGGTCTATGTTATAAGTTGTCGAGCCCACCACATTGGTGTAACTCCACACTACGGCTGTTATGACTCGATCATGTGTTCTTACGCATAATCTACAACTCGATCAAGAACCGACTAGCTACTCAGACAAATAATAGGAATGTTATTCCAATATTTGGTTAGTTTATGAAATTACATAAAAATTTATATTTAAATGTTTGGTTGATTAAATAATAGAACATGACTATATAGTCAAATGAAATGACAAAAATACTCTTACTTGAAATAATAAATAAATAATCTTTTTTTATATAAAAATTTAAATTAATATAAAATAAATACAGAGTATACTTTATATATTTATTTATATATAGAATTGAAATTAATCTAAAATGAATTTATACACATGGTAGTTTTGATATTCAATAATACAATTAGCTATTCTTATGATGATGTAAGAATATCTAATACCATGGAGGACCTTCAAATGACTATTCTCAGGGAATTGTCAATTCCATGGTTCTAAAAATGAACGAAATGATGTAATGGATCTATTTCATGGAATGTCATTTCATTTCTTGTCCATTCCATAAACCAAACACCAAGTGTGATAATTCTACATACCTTATTTTAAAATATGAATTTAATTGGTCATTTATTTATTATTGAATGAAAAATGACAACCAAACCCAACCGTATAATTTTTGCATACAACATTTAATTAATATTTTCATCAATATAAGACTAATTAATTCGAATTTGACATAGTAGCATTCAAAAAAAAATTAAATTTAACATAAATTACACTGACAAATTTTGACTCTTACTCAGAATCTAATCCTCTAATTTCATTAATTATAGTATATTTGCATGAGAATATTAAAAAAAAAAAATTATAGTATTGTATAACATAATATTTGTATCTCCATATTAGAGTATGCATGATTGAATTGATCATTTTGTTTAAAATTAAGGAATTACTAGGAAACGTATAACCTTTTTATTTTATTTTCAAATAATTCAAATAAATTACTTATAAGTTTTTATTCGTTTTTGCTTTGATTTATGGAAAGCAACTCCTATATATAGTCATAGAGAATTTAAGTTTAGAATTTTATATTTATCAAAAATCAAATTGTCTAAGCAACTCGGTTAGATATATAAATATTTTTTCTACTAAATAATATTATAGTATGAACTATGGAATTATTAAAATATTTCTAGGAGAAGTGAAAACCTTTATGCAATAATTGTTCTTCCCAACTTTATGCAATAATTATGGATTAGATGATGGCCGTTGAGGTCAACAATTTCAAAATATAGTTTGCATTCCCCACAAGTAAATAGATGTGGCTAAAAAAGAGGTCAATAAACGAAGAAAACAACAAAAAGCTAGTTTGAATTTACCTCATAAATAGACTGACCGGCTCCAAAGATGAAGTCCACGGCCCCTTCAATGGTGCAATGCTTGAAATAATGTCTGCCCATAGCATCCAACAATGTGTCTTGTACGCCGGAGAAACCACACCGGTAAAACGCTGTTTTGTCGCCGTTAATCATGGCCGCCACCGCCGGTTTCAGGGGAGCGCCGCCTGACTTCTTTGGAGGATAGTTATAGGAATTCTGTTCAAAGGTTACACATAGTTTTACTTATTACTAAATTTTAAATAATATAATTTAAGGGTTACACTTGTGTGAACGTTTTATGAATCTTTATTCGTGAAACGGGTCGAGTCGGGTCAATATAAAAATGTGATACTTATACTGAAAAATATAATACTAATTAAAAATAAAATATTTGTTACTTGGCAAACGTAATACTTTTGAAGACAAATTTAATACATTTTACATTTTAATGTAAAAATATTTTTCATCAAAAGTATTACAATTTGTTTTATAAGTAACGTTGACAAGTGTTTATTACTTATAAAGACAAATGTGATACTTTTGAGAAAAAAATGTAATATTTTAAAATAAAAATGTAAAGTATTATTTTTTTAAAGTATTACATTTTTCCATATAAGTAATAAACATTTTATTCCTAATTTAGTATTAGATTTCCCAATATAAGTATTATTACTCCCTTTGTCTCATTTTATTTGTCCTATTTACTATTCATTAGTTAAACCAACTATTTCTCTTTGTTTATTTCTCTATTATTTTTTACTTATTTTTAAATTTGATTTTTTTTGTGTTTAATAGTATTTTTAGTGTAGTTTATGAATATATAAATTTTGTATACTCTAAACTTAATATTATGAAAAATTGAATTAAAACTAACTTCAGTCAAGTTTCGTTAACCAAATCAGACACATAAAATGAGATAGAGGGAGTACATTTAATCTCGACCCAACCCGTTTTATGAACAAGGATACGTAAGATGGTCTAAAACAAGTGTTTGCCTTAGATATGTTTACACTTGTATAACAATTCAATTTATAGCAAGAATTGAAGAGAGTGATTAATTGACATCGAATAAATAAAAAGTAACACATTGGTAGAAGGGTAAAATTGTAAGTTACTAAAAATAAATCCTTGACTATAAGTCTAATAATTTTATTGTTTCCAAACTATAAATTTTATTGTTTTAGTACTCAACTATAAATTTCATCTAATAATGTCATCGCCTATCGAATTTGTACATAATTTAGTCATTCAAGTGTGGTGTTTTGTTCAAAATTTTATCTCTTATAATCAATTGAAATATTAAAATATGTACAAATTTGATGAGAAAATTAAAGTAATGAAATGACTAAAGCTGTAAAATTATTATTTTTTAAAACTAGATGGAAAGTTGAATACAGAAATTGGAATTTTTACCACAAAATGAAGATTTTCAACTTTGATATTATCTGCATTGGATAAAAAAGTTGGACTTGCAAGGAGTGACTGGCTCTCATCCCAAACGACAATGGGGCGCTGCCTCTTTGCACCCTCTCCTTTGAGGTAAATGTATTGCTTGTCGCCAGGAATTGTTACCTTTTCTCTGTACGTAAGTATGTAAGAGAAATTAAATTAAATGTGGCATATTAATTAATAAATTAAAGTTAGTTGGAATTGAAAGAAATTAAAAAAGAAATGCATATATATATATATATACTTGTAGACACCAGGCTTGATGGAAATGCGAATCCAACGGAGATTGTTGGATGGGATTGAATCAATGGCTGATTGGATGGTTTTGAACTTGGTGGTCAACCCTGAGTGGTCAACATAGATGGTTGGAAGAGACACAACTACCTCTTCATCATGCTGCTGCCATCTGCCATTAACCAAGCCGAGGAAGAAGAAGAAAAGGAGAAATAATAATGGCAAATTCTTGAACATGATGGTATGGTATGGTAGGAGATTGTATTCTTGAAATTTTAGTTTTGCAGATGGATCTATCAGAGTTGTTGTAGCTAGTAGCTAGTAGCTAGTATATGGAGAGTCAGTCAGATCAGATCAGATCAGAGTTGATGAATGGATGGATGGTGTAGTACAAAAAGAAGTGTGGAGTTACTTTAATTTATAGCTATTAGCTAGTGTGAGTACGTGCCCATTTATTCCTGTTATTTTTGTACCTAAAACCTAACGTTTTGTGGGAATAACTAACATGCCAACAAAATGTTGTGTTGTAGATTCCATGCTGTTTTGTCTGCTTCCACCGTCGCCGGAATACTAGATTTTTTCTGCTCTCGTTTTTTGCCGTGATTGCCTCCGCTTGTCATTTTCCTTTTTGTATTTCTTCTTTGGTAGTTTAAGGAATTGTCAAATCAAAGCAAGTAATTGAGGAGTAAACACATACAAATAGGCATCGCGACAGCGACGTACTACATGTTACTCGGATAGGGCACATACTATACAAGGAGATAAACCACCATAACAAATTTAAATTGTCCATAATTAATTGACTCAAACTACTAAAATCAATAACTTGTTCTTACGTAAAGTCAAACTTGAAATTTTCTATTTATCAAGTTAACTTTCTTACCAACTTAATTAGAGTTTCATACATATACAATTACAGAATAGTAACTCGAATGAGTGAAGTATAATTCCTGTACTATAAGGTCGCACCTTCATTTCTTGCCAAGTTAATTAGAGGTTAGTATGTCAATTGAGATTGTTCAAGTTTTTTTTTTTTTTTTTTTTTTTTTTTTGAACTCATGGTGGGGTAGCCCATTCATGGACATCCAATTGAATGAGAATTGTTTTTATTTAGTGGCACATAGGGTAAAAATATTATGAGGAAAATAACATTATTGTATATATATTATACACTCAAATTTTGGTTAATTTAATTAATTGAATGAATTATTAATTAATAGAAAATATTCAAGTGAATTGAAAGTCAAAATTACAAATTTCAATATAATTAAAAGTTTAAACTTTTTTTTTTTAATAGTATAAACTCTATTATTACAATGTAGTATCTCTTTATAATTACTTTCTCAACGTCAACAACGTCTCTACTGAGGCTCGAACTCACAAACTCTCATGTGGCAGTTCAATACCTTATAAAAAAACAATAGTGATGGCATGCATCAAACAACAACATGCTTATATCATACTTACCTATGCACTCACAAATATATACGTGAGTTAATTAATTATATACTCTACACACTTACATACATTGAGTAGAAATGTTTATCTTCTATGAAAATTTTCATCACCACCAGCATATATACTACTCTATCTACTCTATTTTTATCAATTTATGTTAACATAACCTATTTAATTACCCCAAAAGGCTGAATTCCCAACTCTAAGGCCCCCCACACTCCGATCCGACAGAGCATGTAGGAGGATGTAAATCACGGTGACTCAATGGATTAGTAGGCAGGGCCACATAACCTATTTACTTGCACGTAGGATTAGATGTTATTAGTGATGACAATAGTACGTACTCACTTGTTTAGTCATTTTTTAACCCAAACTCAAATACATTTAGAACTACTTAAACCCAAAGGCATATTACTCGTACCTTTTTCAAACCTATTTGACACTATCTATAGGGTGCTCAAAACTCATGTAATATATTTAGGAGTTAATCCCACCAGAGGTCCTTATCTTTGGTGACAATTCCAAATTTAGTCTCATTGTCGTTTTTGCCAATTAACATCCCGGGCATTATTTTTTGGATACTTTTAGTCCTTCTCATGACTTTTTCTATTTTTAGTAAGTGCATTTTTGTGTCTTCATATTTTTCTTTTGTTATTTTTCTGGTTTCAACCGATTTAATTGGTTTCGAACCTTACTAAAAATCGGTAGAAAAATATGATTACTAAAAATCAAATGTTACCTAAAGTTCTAAATTAATTAAACCGGTTGAAACTGAAAAAATAACAAAAGAAAAATATGAAAAGACAAAAATGCCCTTACTAAAAATAGGAAAAGTCATGAAAATAAAGGATTAAAAGTGTCCAAAAAATAATAGTCCGCGATGTTAAATGACAAAAATGATAGTCTGAGACTAAATTTAAAATTGCCACCAAAGACAAGGACAATCTGGAGAATTAACTCTATATTTATTAAAGATAAATACAAATACACACATTATCAACACTATGTATGGAGATTTCACTACTATCCAAACTTGTAATATTAGGGCTCAGGAGATTGGGTATTCGATATTACTTGACTCTCATCGTCATCCCTAAGTGTTATTCATACCATCTAAATTAAAATTCAAAAAAAAAAAAATATTACTTGAAATTTCACATATTCAAAATAAAGCTTAGATATCACTAATTTGATGTGATGCATACACATGCCCACACAACTCAATATTATTGTCACTTATTAATATCATTTGTATATTAAAAAAAAAACAAAAGCATTTGTAGGGAAAAATGAAAAAAAATTCAAATAATTTGTATTTTTTGACTTGAAAAATGATATAGAAAATAAATATTAATAAACACATTTTATATTTTTCCATCATTTTTCTAATGATAAAAAATGAAAAAAAAGAGCATAATAAAAATGAAAATATAAACATGAAAAATAGATAATTAAGCATGTTCTAAGTACTGGCGTGAAGGTGATGAAAGGGCGGCATTGGCGGAATTGAAAGTGGAAGAGATCAAACCTTAATTGAAGAGGCGACAAAACTGTCTACTAATAATTTTCAATTTAATGCCCAAAATTTCTATCTGATATTTTGAAAGAACGAAACAACAAATTAAAGGTAGTTCGTTAAGGTTAGGATTTCGATAGTGAAGGAATGCTGGGACTTGGGGTTAACTTGTGGTGAATGTGATATCTGAACAATAATATAAGTGGATTGTATGTGAAAATTGGTCAAAATTGAACCAAAATTCAAAAATTTGGTAAGTTGATTGGGTTGAAAGCTTTGAAAAACTCGAGGGAGGTGTTGTGAATCATAAAGCTTTGACCTTTTCATAGAAATACTCCGTATGCAACATATATACTGGGACGGAACCAGAAAACTTGAGTTGGGGGTTGATGTAGTAGAGAAAATTTATAATGTTAGTCGACATTATAATTAATTACACCATATTATTATATATATCATACATTATTGTGATTATTATTGATAATGATTTCTAATTATACTATGTGTAGTAAAGTATGAAATACATAATTATATGAGCACGATCAACAGGTGTCGATCATTACTTAAGTTTTTTTTTTTTTTTTTTTTTTTTTTTTTTTTTTTTTTTTTTTTTTCACATAACACAAAATATAATAATAACAATAACAACAACATTTATTTAAATATAGATTGTCACTTAACATCAAATAAAAAGTTTTGTCAATTATTTTGTCACCAAATTTTTTCATAATTAACTTATATTCATTTACTGGTTAACTGAATATTTCAAAATTTGAGAGATAAAGACAAAAATCAAGATGAATTAAATAATTAATATTATTTTTTGTCAATTTTAAAACTAATCATTTAAACTAGTAAATGTACATTTTAAAAATGTAAATAAATAATTAAAACACACAATAAATCACTAATTAATTAATCAACATATATAACTAATAAAACCAAAGCATATATCTCAAATTTGGAGATTTTTTTTTTTAAAATTAAAATGTATACTTGATGTCATTCATTATTAAAATCTTGATAAAAGAAATAAGATAATAAAGAAAAATGGTCACTTTAATTATTTAATTATTTCTTTTTATTTAATGAATTTGAACTTTAATATATATTTTGAGTTTATTTAATATAAACATAATAGATTTTTCTTATAAAAAAAATTAGAGGGGGGCCAAAAGTGTATTTTATCCCTACTATATTAATATATACATACATATTTACTAAAAAATTTAGGGTGAGGGTAGGGGTGGGAGGGCCAATGCCCCCCTACCCCCTAAGGTACCTCCGTCCTTGCACACACACACACACACACACACACACACACACACACACACACACACACACACACACACACACACACACACACACACACACATATATATATATATATATATATATATATATATATATATATATCCGCTTGATAGATACCCTGGCTAGTCGCCTGGACGGGAAGATCAGGTAAGGCAGCCGGGTCAAAGCATGGCTCAATACATAGCGTAAAGGGGATCCCCGAAACCCTTCTTGGTCATCCTATAAGACGTCTGACGACAACAATTGCTCATCCCTCGGCAACCAAAATCTCAGCAGCCAGAGCGTCCCCGGGCGGGCTCTCGGGCTCGGGTCGGTGGGGCGACCAGCCTCAGTAGTCGGCGTGTCTCCGGTTGAGTACCCTAGTGGGTTTAGATTGTGACAACCCAAAATTTAATTTTATAAATTCGGTTTTAAGGAATTTCAAAATAGCCATTTTTCACTCTATCAAAAACTTTTGCGATAAAAATGGTGTTTGAATAAATTATTTTGAGTTACATTTTAAAAGAATTCAACACCGGGACTTATCTTAATTCTAAAATCCGAAATTTTCAAGTACATTGCGTACCAAGTTTTTGACCCAAAAATCAATCTGAGTGAAACCGGGAGAAATCTGAGAAACCTAAATTAAGTGGTTGTCTAGAAAGTGTTTTTGGTAAAATATATTTTGACCCCCCAAACTTTTAAAACTATGATTTTAGACCTTGGTCCATGTAGCATGGTGGATCACAAGAATCCATTTGTGTCTGATGCTTTATAGAATCAATCAAAATTATCATTTTGCCATCAACCAATCATAAGGAAATTTCCTTGGGTTTTGCACCCTATAAAACCCACCTTATCCCTTCATTTCTTCCCTGATCTCATTTCCCTTGCCTCTCCAACCCTTGTATGATAGAAGAGAACATTCACTGTAAGTCATCCTACACTTATCATTCCTTCAGTTTGCTTCTTGAGTTATTTCATTTTGCTTCCCAATCTCTGAGGTTCTTAGGCCTATATCTTGTGGTTGCTTGGGATGTTTAGGTGGTGAAAGAAGTGGAGGATTTTGAGTGGAGAGGAGTCT